TCTTGTCTTTGGCTGCTTTCACACTAGAATAGCAAGACTTCAATTGTTGTATCAGAAACCATACAGCAAAGCCTAAACTATTTTCTATCTGACCCTTTATTAAAGAATGTTAGCCAATTCCTGTTCTTTCGGATTTTGCAACTCTGATTATTTCATTTTCTCTTTTTTTTTTTTCCGGGAAGATTTCCTCAGCTTTACCTTCAAATCTTTTTATTGAATTGTTTATTTCTGCTATTATGTTATTTGATTTTCAAGAGCTTTTTCTTGCTCTCTTTTCCTTCTTTCATATAATAGCGTCTTCCTTATCTCTGAAACCCTAACCGGCTTGTTGCTTGTCGCCTGGTGCTGTCACTTGAAGGTGCTTTGGGAAACTGTGGGATCTCTAGAGGTTGTTTTAGTTTACTTTTCTAAAGAGGAATCTTCCTTTTTCTCCTCATTTTAAAAAAACGTGGATGCTTTTCTCCCAGATTTACAGAAGCAGGTCAGGTGAAAACTTTTCACTTTTCAGTCTAGACTTTCACAGAAATCCCTGTTTTTTAACCCTGTGCCCAGTGATTCTAAATCTAGAGCCTGTTTCTAAAAAAAAATAAAAATAAATTTAAAGTCTCTGGTCCTTGGCAATATAGTAATAGATTGGAGTACAATTGAAATGAATGCAAGAGAGCATTTCAGAGGGGTTCCACTGCCACTGAGTCAATTCTTACTCTTAGTGACCCTATAGGAGGGGCTAGAGACGTCAGAAGAAGCCCTGGTACCACAATGGGTAGAAGCACTCAGGTGCTAACTAAAAGGTTGGTAGTTCAAACCCATCAGCACCTCTGCAGGAGAAAGATTTGTCAGTCTGTTTTCATAACAGTCTTTGGAACCCTCATTATTTTTGTACTGTAGGATCACTCTGCATCAGAATTCATATGACAGCAATGGTGTACCAGAGGTCTAGGCAACAGATGTTAGTGGCTTAGAGGTAGTGGAAACAGTAAAAAAAACAGATTGATTTGAGATTTAGATGGAAACTTATTTCTCCAGAAATGTATTTTACTGGACACTGTAGGATGTGTCCAATAGGATGGCGCTGTAGGATAAGCACTGGACTGTGAACCACAAGGTCAGCAGCTCAAACTCACCAGCTGCTCCTAGGAAACCCTGTACAGGGTTACTACAAGTTGGAATCAGCTCCGTGGCATCTGACAACAACAATTACAGGCCTAAAGAGCAGGAACCTTATCTCAGCTATTTGTAGATAAGGTTTTTCACAGTACCATGTGCCCAGCAAGCATCAGTATTGATTAA